CCCCAAGCACACACTGACAGACAGACAGACAGACAGACAGATAGACAGACAGACAGACACACACACACACACACACACACTACACACACACACACACACACACACGCACACACATACGCACACAAGCGCGTGCGCGCGCGCACACACACAAATACACACACACACATGCACACACACCAACCACCTTTTCCACATACCCCAAACAATTAGCTAGCTTTCGCGGATGAACATGAAAACATTATTACTATCATGTACCTTCTCTCTGTTTCAGGGGAAAAACGATATCACTCACAGCGAGTTGGTGTTGCGAGTGTTGGAGGGGAAGAGACGTGAGTCTTCTTGGAATGTGGATCAAATACCAGAATGTTTGGTTTTCATATATTATGGTTGCTTTTATGGACAAGCGGGCTAACCCGGATTTCGGGGGTTTCCAGAAATCTTGACCTACACCAAAAGTGGGTATTGTCCTACCTTTAGGATAAGTTTAGTTTAATTGGTGTGTATATTTGTTTGGTTATAGAGAAAGCTCTCCTTATCTTGAAAAGAAACTGAACAAGGGGCAAAAAGTGTTGAAAAACTTTACCTTCCATTTTCTCAAAACATAATTTTTCGGGATAGCCCCCTTGTGCTTATAAGCGACCATATTACATGTATTTCAAAGAGTGTATTAATTAACAACTTCAGTGCCAGACCCGAGAATTGAGTTATGGAGCAGGTCTAAAAGTAAAAGCGCATTCCTGCGTTTCACAAGTCCCAGTTTATTGGACACAAGACTTCATTGAAGGCTTCTTTGGTTTGGTCACGTCGTTGTCCCCTCTCAGCCGCCAACGCTACCGACCCCACAGTGTTACCGACAGCGAGCTGATCTCGTTGAGACCCTTGTGTTCACAATTCTTCCCCTCATACTCTCAAATTATTTTTTTTAAAATTCCTTCAGCCACTCCAACTTCGTGGATTAGATGAAGAAAAACTAATTACCTACCTTAGCCTTTAGAGATTAAAGTGAGAACATCTAGACATGCACAAATAAGACCTGTAAGTGAAAAGATAACGAGTGCATTACACAGTATTGGGAAGCTTGTCTTATACCACCAAGCATCTATGACTATATTGCAAAGTTTAGTCTATTGGAGCTAAGCTCACGGGATTTGGTATGGCGTATGCAAACGTACAATGGGGGTGAGGTTTTGGAGCAGGACGTGAAGGGTTTATTTTTTCGGGGTAAGGATTATATAACCATCTTCCATATTTCCCCGCCCTTCCACAGGCACAAAAGGACATCAAGCCACATAGAATCGGGTGCTTTTTAATAAATATATATGTAACATAGAGGAATTCGCTTCTACTTTTAGTCCAACCAGAGAGCCGGAGACAGTGAAGGGTTAAGCCCACATCGACACAATCTGGGTCATTAAAAAGTGAGACTACTTCGATTCTGTCAACATAAGGCCTTATTGGGTTGGGTACCTCACAGGAGATATGAAGGAAGGCTTGAAAAAAAATCGTCTAAAAAAATAAAAACAACCCAAAAAACAGTGTTTAGTGTGGCATTAAACCCACACACGGGGAAACCAAACTAAAGAACAAGGAAGGAAAACCAGTCCAAATACACCAAGGTCTACTCCCTCCGCTTATTAACCCCCTTCGTCTTTGTCTCTTTCACCCTCCTGTTTCATAAACCTACCTCCTTAAATTTTTTGGGGTTATTATTATTGTATGACAATAATATGTGATTATGTCGCCCACAGCTCTGAAGTTTTTCCGGGAGTTTTTCAAAGATGAAGTCAAAACGTTTGACTACAAGTGGCTTAGGTGAGAAGCCTTTTATGATAATTAATTGCTACAAACTACATGTATTTCTACTACAAACACATCGATCTCATTTCATCTTATTAAAAACAATGTTGGACAAACCACAGTATGCGTCCAAACTTTTTGCTGCGGAGTCCACATTGTATTTGTATCAATCCTGATATACATGTAAACGTTTAACGACTTGGTCTGAAATGGTGAAATGGTATAGGCAAAGATCGTGTAATCGAGAATCTTTGGTATAGGTTTGACGCCCGTATCACAACTATTGGGTTATTTAACAGGCGGGACCTCCAAGTTTAACGCCCATCTCCCGAAGGAACGAGCCAAGTTGGGAAACTTGTGTAAAGTGCCTTTCCCGAGGACACAACGTCGGACCGAGCTGAGGCTCGAACCCCCGAACCCGCAATGTCACGATTACGAGTCCGGTAGCCTAACCCCTAACTAGACCACCGACGCCACTCAACTTGGTCTGGCGGGAGATAACGAGTAACCCGACGGAAGATGACGTATGATTTTGACTTGTATGACATGTGGCCTGACGGCAGTTGACGTGTATGACATGTGGCCTGACGGCAGTTGACGTGTATGACATATGGCCTGAGAGGAGGTAACGTGTGGTCTGACGGGAGGTGACGTGTGATTTTGACGTGTGTGACGTGTGGCTTGACAGGAGGTGTCGTGTGATTTTGAAGTGTGTCGTTTGGCCTGACAAGATATGACGTGTATGACGTGTGGCCTGACAAGAGATGACTTGTATGACGTGTGGTCTGACGGCAGTTGACGTGTGATTTTGACGAGAGATGGCTTGTGGTCTGATGATGATGATGATCATGGTTATGAGGCTGATAATGTTGATGATGATGTTGATAATGATGACGATGATGCCGACAACGACGACGACAACGACGACGACGACGATGATGATGATGATGATGATGATGATGATGATGATGATGATGATGATGATGA